CGATATTCAGAGAAGTTGGAGGTCACTGAAGTGAAAGCTGCCAAATAGCTGTGATGTCTTCAGGGAAATGGGACTAGTGTTATCTCATAAATTCCCCATGAAGGAAGTTACCAACTCTTGCTTTTGAGTCCACAGCTGATCAGTGGCATCTGCTCAGAGCCCACTATACTCAGGTCACAATTTCTAATCATGTTTGAAAATTAGAGATAAAGTCATGCTCCAATCAAGGTGAGAATAAGAATTCAATTAAATTCAATATACAGGAATATTGTTTAGAAAGATTATATGTATCACAGCATACGTTACACAGTACAAGTTGTTCTGGATTGTAAGTCCTCCAATAACCTAGGATTTTCAGGGAAATCTTTCCAAAATGTATTAGTTTGCTTTCCTGCGTTCTTGTTCTCCTGCTCCTTGGAGAGAAGGAAGTGAGTGCAAGAATACATAGCCTGGGGCCGGGCGCGGTGGCTCACGCCTGTAATCCTAGCACTCTGGGAGGCCGAGGCGGGCGGAAATTGCTCAAGGTCAGGAGTTCAAACCCAGCCTGAGCGAGACCCTGTCTCTACCAATAAATAGAAAGAAATTATTGGCCAACTAATATATACTAATATAAAAAAATCAGCTGGGCATGGTGGCGCATGGCCTGTAGTCCAGCTACTCGGGAGGCTGAGGCAGAGATCGCTTGTGAGCCCAGGAGTTTGAGGTTGCTGTGAGCTAGGCTGACGCCACGGCACTCACTCTAGCCAGGCAGAAAGCGAGACTCTGTCTCAAAAAAAAAAAAAAAAAAAAGAATACATAGCCTGGGAATCTTCTCCAGGAAGAGGGGCATCGACACCCACTTCCTGGCTCCAGGAATACCTGGGGCCTGCATGCCTATCAGTGAGGCAGAGGCAGCCATACACAGCAAGAACAGGCATTTAAAGAAAGGAGGCCAAGTGTTGTGGCTCAGGCCTGTAATCCTAGCACTCTGGGAGACAGAAGTGGGCGGATTGCTCAAGGTCTGGAGTTCGAGACCAGCTTGAGCAAGAGCAAGACCCCTGTCTCTACTAAAAATAGAAAGAGGCGGCGAAAAACAAAGAAAGCAGGAAAGCAAACTATACATTTTGGAAAGATTTCCCTGAAAATCCTAGGTTATTGGAGGACTTAGCAATCCAGAACAACTTGTACTGTGTAACGTATGCTATGATACATATAATCTTTCTAAACAAATATTCCTGTATATTGAATTTAATTGAATTCTTATTCTCACCTTGATTGGAGCATGACTTTATCTCTAATTTTCAAACATGATTAGAAATTGTGACCTGAGTAGTAGTGGGCTCTGAGCAGATGCCACTGAGTCAGCTGTGGACTCAACCAGCAAGAGTTGGTAACTTCCCTTCATGGGGAATTTATGAGATAACACTAGTCCCATTTCCTCTCTGAAGGAACATCTCAGTGATCTCAGCTTTTTGGACTTTCACTTCAGTGACCTCAACTTCTCTGAAGTATCACATCAGTGACCTCAGCACCTCTCTGAACTTTCACCAAGTGACCTCAGCTCCATACTGAAGTAATATCTCAGTGATCACAGCTCCTCTCTAAAGTATCATGCTCAGTAATCTCAACCTCTCCCTGAAGAACGACCTCAGTGATCTAATCTCTAGTGACAGCTTGGTGATCCCACTTTGGTTGTTTCAGCTCCTCTGAAGTAAACCTCAGTGGTCATAACTACTCTGAAGTACACTTTAGTGATGTCAGTCCCTTTTCAGAAGTAACACTCAGTGATTTCGTCTCCTCTTTGATGAAACACCTGAGATCCTCTGAAGTAACACCATAATTGTCTTTCTGAATTAACACTTCATTGATACTAGTTCCTCTGGAGTTTCACTTCAGTTGTTTCAGCTGCTCTGAAGTATTTAATAAAACAGCAGTGATCCCAGCTCCCTTCTCAACACATCAGTGACCAGTTCTTCTCTGAAGTTAATAATACATTAATGTTATCAGTTCCTTAGACCAGTGTCTACACAGAAATGGGGAGATGCTTTTATCTGCATCATGGTGTAATGCTATGGACTTAAGGATCAATGCCCTAGTGCCTGTTTTTCCCCAAGAAGTGGATAGACATTAGGATGGGGTGGGTGGACAGAATCCTGCTCTCTCTCAGGCACTTAACATGTTTAAGAGGGTTTGAAATGGCTTGAATCTCATACAATGTGTTTCCTTTGCAACTGGATGCTACTAGATATGGCTCTGATACAAATTCACCTTCAAGAACTGTATCCTTAGAACAAATAATTTTGAATAAGTTAAACACAAATTTTTAATTATGAATAAACAAGATTCATCACAGTAATATGCAATTGATACTAGATTCTCTTGAACCAGGAGTGAAAAAAATGAAACAAAAAACCCTCAAATATAGGGATAGAAATATTAGAGATAGTCAAAAAGAGGTATCTGAATTTGAGAACTTTATGTTGTAAAAATGTGCATCAGGCCAGTCATAGTGCCTCGCACCTGTAATTCCAGCACTTTGCGAGGCCACGGGGAGGATCGCTTGAATCCATCCCACCACTGTGCTCTGGCCTGGGTGACAGAGTGAGAACTTGTCTCATACACACACGCACACACACACACACACACACACACACAAAAGCATGAGAGAAATATTTTTAGTAATTAAAAAAAAATACCTTTAACAAATATGGTGACTAGAAAATGAAAAAAAAAATCACAGGTGTAAAGAGGCACCCACTTGTGTGTAGCAGCTATGAGGTCTGCTCTGAGTGTGGAGCTTCCCTCCTAGGCCTGTGTGGGACCTACAGATCTGAGACATCCTACAGTCTCTGGGGCACAGGATCTGTAGGTTATAAGGGCAGGTTTTCAGTAAAATACTCATTTTTAAGTTGAATTTTTACTAAAAACTTAAGATACTCCTTCTGATCTTGGATAAAGTTAAAGCACCAAAGGGTTTTCTGGGCTGGGTGCAGTGGCTCACACCTGTTATCCTAGCACTCTGGGAGACTGAGGCAAGAGAATCACTTGAGGTCAGGAGTTCGAGACCAGCCTGAGCAAGAGCAAGACCCTGTCTCTACTACATATAGAAAAAATTAGCCAGATGCGGTGGTGCGCACTCGGGACATTGAGGCAGGAGGATCCTTTGAGCCCAGGAGTTTGAGGTCACAGTGAGCTCTGACGACACCACTGTACTCTAGCCAGGGCAACACATTGAGCCTCTGTCTAAAAAAAAAAAGCTTTCTAAATTTACATCATTACTCACTAACATATATTCAGACTTCTTCCTTTACTTCATACAAAACTGATGTTTCCACATACTTAGGATTTCCAGCCATTTTACATGATACTTGGTGACAATCTCTTTTTATATCACTTCATCCACATAGCACTTGAGTGTTTTAACATAATACTGAAAATAGTCAACATTCTAAGTGCAATAATTAGAATAATTAATTGTATTTAGGAAAGGCATGTAGTTTCCTAGGAAAAAGAATTTTATCTCAAATATAAGAAAGTTTTTTGGGGACACTAGTTCTTATGCCTCAACTTCCCTTAGTTACTTACTTCAAATAAACTATGTAATGTTAAAGAAATATGCTGTCTTTACCAAAATTCACTATAATTGTATGATTGCTCTCCAATATAACCTCAAGATATTGAGTTAAATCAAACAGGCATTCTCTGAAGTTTTTCCATGGGAAGAACATGCCCAGTGCTTCTTTTTCCAGTTACTTGGTGACGCTGACTCACCACAGAAGGGCCTCCTGTAGAGGTCAAAGGTGCTTCTGGGCTGGAGGCTACCTGTGGTTCCATGTGCAGTTTCTGAGAGGGTAGATTCTGTGTCAGTCGCAAGTCACAGCTTCCTGTGCACTTTCTGGTGCTGGATCAGGTGCCCGTGCTGGTTGAAGGCGCGCCCACACTCACCGCACTCGTAGGGCTTCTCGCCCGTGTGGATCCGCTGGTGCTGGATAAGCACCGAGTACTGGCTGAAGGCCTTCCCACAGCTGTTGCACTCGTAGGGCTTCTCGCCCGTATGGGTCCTCAGGTGCACAATCAGAGTCGCTTTCAGGCTGAAGGCTTTGCCACACTCCGTGCACTGGAAGGGCTTCTCGCCCGTGTGGATCCTCTCGTGCTGGATCAGAGACCGGCGCGCGCTGAAGGCGTGCCCGCACTCGCCGCACACGTAGGGCTTCTCCCCGGTGTGTACCCTCTGGTGCTGGATCAGGTGTGAGTGCTGAACAAAGGCCTTCCCGCACTCGTAGCACGCATAGGGCTTCTCTTCCGTGTGGATCCGCTCGTGGTTCATCAGGGTGGAGCGGTGGCTGAAGGTCTTCCCGCACTCGCCGCATTCGTAGGGCTTCTCCCCAGTGTGCACGTTGTGGTGCTGGATGAGCACCGAGCGGTCGCTGAAGGCCTTCCCGCACTCGCTGCACGCATAGGGCTTCTCGCCAGTGTGGACCCTCTGGTGCTGCAGAAGCGTCCTCTTCACACTGAAGGTTTTCCCACACTCGGTGCACCCGTGAGGCTTCTCCCCTGTGTGCACCCTCTGGTGGCTCCGCAGGACGGTGCTGTGGTTGAAGGCTTTCCCGCACAAAGGACACACATACGGCCTTTCTCCCGTGTGGATCCGCTGATGCTGAATGAGGTGAGAGAGCTGAGTGAAGGCTTTCCGACACTCGAGACATTCGTGAGGCTTCTCTCCCGTGTGTATCTTGTGATGCTGAGCAAGATCTGAGCTCACTCTGAAGGCTTTTCCGCACTCGTTACACTCGTAGGGCTTCTCACCTGTGTGAATTCTCCTGTGTTTACTAAGGACTGAGCTCTGGCTAAATGCCTTCCCGCATACACCGCACACGTAGGGCTTCTCTCCAGTGTGGATACGCTGATGCTGAAGGAGATGGGAGCTCCGACCAAAGCACTTCCCACACTCGATGCACATGTAGGGTCTCTCTCCACTAGGAACGGCCTGATGCTGAGTGAGTGGCACCGTCTGGCTTAAGGCCTGAACTTCAGTGTGGCAGGCAGGGTTTGAATTCAGACAGAAGTTTTGCTTCGTTTCATTGTTTTCTTGATCAATCCTCCCCAAGGGTGTTTTCCCCAGAATCGCTGTTATTTCCTCTGAAATTAATGGCTTCAGACTCAAGTCTGCATTTTGCTTTTCTCCCTTGATTTCATATTCTGAAAGAAGAAATCCAAAATGAAAAGGTTAACACCACTCAAAACTGAAGAGCAAGTGCAACCCTGAAACTGGCTTTGCTGATTAAGGTGTGGTCCCTGAATGCACATGGCCGTGTGAGCTGCAGAGGGACCGGACAATGTCACAACAATGTCAAACTAGAACTCAGAAGACATGTTTCCAAACAGGAACATGTGAAGGCTAATAGCGAGGTTTAAGAGAAAGGTGTAAATGCAGTCTGAGGTCATAACCCTGCATGGAGTGCACACAGCAGCAGGGACACAGCCCAGTGCTGCCTGAGCCCTGCCCTCCCCAGAGTCCTCATGTAGACTGAGCATCCAGAGAGGCCATGTGGAGCAGGAAAAAGTGCAGGACCACACTGTGACTGTGGGAGCCCTGCAGGGCAGGCAGGGACAAATGAGCTCTTGTGAACAGTGGGAGGTGCTGTCTAGGGGCTAATAAACTTGTATGTGGGGGTGCTGTGACCTCTTTGTGGAAGACAATTTCTAGTGGAGAATGCACTAGCAGGGGCATGGGTGGGAAGGGCAAGACTGAAGGCACAGGGGAATGTGATGAGAATCTGCTGCCAGGTTCAGGGCAGAGATGGGGCCTGTGGGGAGGGGAGCACAGATGGTGGGAAAGGTGGAGGTAGAGATGTTTTTGGATTAAGTCAAGGAGTCTATGTGAGTGGAGGAAGACAATAGTTTTAAATCTTGTAGACTGAGCCACTGAAATGACAAAATGCCACCCAGATCAAGACTTCACATGGAGACAGGTGCTGTTTTGAGAAGACAGGCTATTCTCAGGGAGTGCACTCCATCAAGGACATTCAATATGTGGACCTGGTCCCACCTCAGGGCAGAGGAAGAGGCTGAACCCACATGGCAACAGGATGTGTTAGGCCCCTCTGTTTCCTGAGGGCAAAAGGGCCGTGGGCCTCTTCTATAGCAGAGGCTGACAGCCAAGCCTCCAGTGCCACAGGCTCTAGGGTGCACAGGGGGGCCCAATCTCAGCCCTGGGGCTCAGGACACCAGCCCTACCCTCAATGCTTCACCTCTGAAGCCTCTGCTGGGGACTTCCCTGAATGAACTGTCATACTCAAGTAACATTGCAGGATGAGAAGTCCCGTGGTAGAGAAAGATCCAAGAAGGCAATTCTTTCTTTTCTCTTGTTGAAGGATACTCCTGGGGTCTGTTGTAGGTGCCAGTGGGGTCAACAACCCCTGTGGGAAAGTGCAGATTTAGCAAACTCTGGCTCAGAAACAAGAGATCATTGGCTACGCAGCATCAAAGCATGCGTGTGCGTGTGTGTGTGTGTGTGTGTGTGTGTGTGTGTGTGTGTATGTGTATAGGGGATCATTTCTTTCCCATTCCCTATCTCCAGGGGAGGTGGACTAACTTTTTTGGTTAGTTTGAGTAAGAACTGAGCAGTCTCAGCTCAGCCACTTCAGGGGACTAGCCTGGCTCTCGTGAGCCTACATTCAAAGACCTAGAGAGGCAGGCTCCCAATACCGGGGAGCATATGGTAATCCCTCACTGCTTGAACCTGGTGTTGAGTCTGTCTTATTCTGGAGTTCTGTATTGGGAAGCACATTTGAGTGGCAATAAATCACATTTTCCAGTTGTGCTTAATCTGTAAATGATATTTTCATGTCCCATCAGCCTTTGTGTATATGTGTGTTTGGTAACAGCTTTCATGAGATATAAGCTTTACTTTTTTATTGGTTCAGAACTTGCTTTGGGAAGACAAGTGGTGTATAATGGGCCTCCTCAAACTCCAAAAACACACTTGTAAAATAAGAGACTCAGAATCTAAGAAGTCCATCCGAAATGACAAGGGACCTTCTAAGATGGACAGAAACATCCATGAAGTGCTTTATGACTGAGGTGTTTGGAGAAAGATTTGAGCGAAGGTGGCTAATAAATAAAACCCATGTTTGATTTGATCTGTGATGTCTTTTGACATCCAAGGAATGGTTACCTTGGAGAGACTAGGACATACCAAATGCTAACACTTCTTGCAAAAGGATGGAAGTGGGACAGACTGCTGCAAGCCCTCAGTGAAGGTTCATCTGGGAAAGCAGGTGTGTGTGTGGGGAAACTTCCTCAAGGATACTGTCCAGAAATAATACTGAGGGCAAGGGACTCCCATGGTGGTGGTGACAAGGCTGGGGTCCCATTCTAGGCCTGATTAACCTACTTCACCACACCCACTGCAAGCTTTAGCTTTCCTCTCAACATGGCAACACCCATTGCTCTCCAGGTCTCAGGGTCCTCTGTGCTCTGCCAGACCTCTCCATCTGAAAGGAACCTCTTCCCTCCTTCTAGAACAAGCCCCTCCTCCTGTAGCTGGTGGGCCTTCAGAATTTGCCTCTCTCTTCTGACTCCTTATCTCCCTCTTTTCCCACACCAGCATCTAGGCCCTTGTTTCTGTCACCAGACCACCAGCCTATGGCATACTGTTGTCCATCCAGTCAATATTATTCTCATCCTCAATATTACCTGGTCAGTCATAGGCACTGAATGGCTCCTCACCACGACCAACAGAAGCACACAACCGCCAACTTGGTGTGCAACACCTTGTGGCTGCATTGAACAATTCACTTGCACATCCTGTATCCCTTTTATTATTGTATTATATATGATGTAAAATAATGTTATGTTATTATTGTTATTAATTATATATTAACTTGCTTCCCCAAGGAGGTAGAAAGCTGGAAAGAGCATCACTCCCATGCCAACAATAGAAAAAAGCCAGACAATCTACAAAATCCTTACTTTTCTTGAATCCATCACCTAGCAATCCTCTTGCCTCAACCTCCCAAAGTGCTGGGACTACAGGTATGAGCCACCATGCACAGCTAAGATGTTCTAAAGTTGATTGTGGTGATGGTTGTACAACTCTGAATATACTAGAAACCATTTAATGGTACACTTTAAATGGGTGAAGTGTATGGTATGTAAATATATCTTAAGCAGTGTTTTCTTATTTTTCAGTTTTAAAAAGATATAATGTTTCAATGACTTTTACTTTGAAGCAAAAAGAAAAACAAAAATAAAAGTTTTAAAAAAATAAAAAGATATAATGATAGAATGAACACTCATATACCCAATTTTAGGGAGAAAGCATTCAATATTTTACCATTAACTGTTATGTTAGGTGTACATTTTTTTTTTTTTTTTGAGACAGAGTCTCACTTTGTTGTCCAGGCTAGAGTGCAGTGGCATCAGCCTAGCTCACAGCAACCTCAAATTTCTGGGCTCAGGCAATCCTACTGCCTCAGCCTCCTGAGTAGCTGGGACTACAGGCATGTGCCACCATGCCCGGCTAATTTTTTCTATATATTTTAGTTGGCCAATTAATTTTCTTTCTATTTTTAGTAGAGATGGGGGTCTCTCTCTTACTCAGGGTGGTTTTGGACTCCTGACCTTGAGCAATCTGCCCGCCTTGGCCTCCCAGAGTGCTAGGATTATAGGCGTGAGCCACCGCACCCAGCCATGTGTACATATTTTGTAGATCAGCAATCCCCAACCTTTTTGAAGTTCCTGTTGCTTTGTCTTCAAGTTCACTAATATTTTCTTATGCAATGTCTAACCTGCCATTAATTCTGTCTAGTGAATTTTTTCTGTCTTTCAAATAAAGACCTAATTATATTTAAGTCTTTTAAAATATCTTCCAAGTTTCTACTTAGTATGTTCAATATTTCCTTTAGCTCCTTGAACATAGGAGTAAATTTATTCTCTTTCAATGTCTTTGTCTTCTAATTCTACCATTTTTTCTATTTCCAGTCAGTTTCACTTGATTAGTTTTTCTTCTAATTATGGTTGTATTTTCTTGCTTCTTTGCATGCCTTAGAATTTTGTATTAGATACCTGACACTGTAGATTTTTTCTTGCTTGGTATTTTTTTTTTAAGGTTATAACTGTTTATTGAATTTTTTTTCTTTTTTTTCCAGCAATATTATGGGGGTATAAATGTTAAGGTTACGTATATTTCCCTTGACCCTCCTCCCCCCTCAAGTCAAAGCTTCAAGCGTGTCCATCCCCCAGTCTGTGCACATCACACTTGTTATGTATGTATATACCCATTCCCTTCCCCCACCTGCCTGACACCCGATAGATGTTATTCCTATATGTCCACTTATATGTTGATCAGTTAATACCAATTTGCTGGTGAGTACATGTGGTGCTTGTTTTTCCATTCTTGGGATAGTTCACTTAATAGAATGCGTTCCAGCTCTATCCAGGAATATATAAGAGGTGCTATATCACTGTTGTTTTGTATAGCTGAATAGTACTCCATGGTATACACATACCACATTTTATTAATCCATTCATGTACTGAAGGGCACTTCAATTATTTCCACATCTTGCAATTGTGAATTGAGCTGCTATAAACATTCGAGTGCAGATGTCTTTTTCATAGAGTGACTTTTGTTCTTTTGGGTAGATGCCCAGTAATGGGATTGCTGGATCAAATGGTAGATCTACTTGTATAGCTTTAAGTTATCTCCATATTGCTTTCCACAGAGGTTGAACTAGTTTGCAGTCCCATACTTGGTATTTTTGTATTCCTATCTTCTTGATCTTGTTCTAATATGCAGTTAAGTTACTTGGTAATAGTACGGTTCTTTTGGGTCTTGTTTCATAAGCTGTGTTAAGTAGGAGCAGAGAGTAGTGGGGGCTGTTTTTCCCACTACTGAGGCAAGACCCTTCTCAGTACTCTAATGCCTTGTGAATTATGTGGTTTTCCACTCTGGCTGTTAGGAACAGACAATATTACCAGGCTTGTGTGAGCTCGGGGCACTGTATTAGTTTGCTATTACTGTGTTACAAATTACCACAAATTTAGCAGTTTAAAACAACACCTATTTTTTAGCTCATAGCTCTGTTGGCCAGAATTCCATATGGCATAACTAAGTACTCTGCTCAGGGTTTCATGAAGCTGAAATAAAGCGTTTGCCAGTCTCAGTTCTTATGTGGAGGCTCAGGGGATAAATCCAATTCTAAGCTCATTCTTACTGTTGGCAAAATTTAGCTTCTTGTAGCTGTAAGACCAGGGTGACTGTTTCCTTGCTGCTGGATGTCAGCTGGACCACTCTCAGCTTCTAAATGCTGCCCCCATTTCTTGCCACATATCCCCTTCTATCTTCAAGGTAGAAATGATGCATCAAGTCCTTCTAATGCTTTGAACTTCTGACTCCTCTGTCTCTGACCTTTAGATTCAGATTTAAAGAACTCTCCTTTTTTTTAAAAGACAGAGTCTTGCTCTGTTGGCCGGGATGGAGTGCAGTGGCATAATCACAGCTCATTGCAGCCTTCAACTCCTCAGCTCAAGTGATCCTCCTGCCTTAGCTTTCCAAGTAGCTGGGACTATAGGTGTGCGTCAACATGCAGAGCTAATTTATTTATTTATTTTTTGTAGAGATGGAGTCTCACTATGTTGCCCAGGCTCGTCCAAACTCCTGGCCTCAAGCGATCCTTGTGCCTTGGCCTCCTGGAGTGCTGGGATTATAGGTGTGAGCCACCATGCCTGGACTGGTGGCTCTTTCTTGTCCTTGGATAATTTCCTGACATGCATGTGCTAATCAGTACTCAACTAAATATTTGAGGGAGACTCTGCAGATCTCCAGAATTCTTTTTTTTTTTTTTTTGAGACAGAGTCTCACTTTGTTGTCCAGGCTAGAGTGAGTGCCGTGGCGTCAGCCTAGCTCACAGCAACCTCAAACTCCTGGGCTCAAGCGATCCTCCTGCCTCAGCCTCCCGAGTAGCTGGGACTACAGGCATGCGCCACCATGCCCGGCTAATTTTTTTTATATATATATCAGTTGGCCAATTAATTTCTTTCTATTTATAGTAGAGACGGGGTCTCGCTCTTGCTCAGGCTGGTTTTGAACTCCTGACCTTGAGCAATCCACCTGCCTCGGCCTCCCAAGAGCTAGGATTACAGGCGTGAGCCACAGCGCCCGGCCGAGAATTCTCTTTGTTAAACCGATTTCTTTATTACTCCTCCATGTACTTCTCAGCTGTCTTTTCAATTCAAGGAAGACTAATAAGCTCTGCCAGGGTTCCCCCTCCCTGTACCTCAACTTTCTTTAAGCCATGAGTTGAGACAATTGTAGGGCTCACTTTGTTTTCTGTCTCTCAGGGATCTCTTTCTTTTGTTGACTGATTTCTAATGGCCAACATGTTGAGATCTATGGTTTCATATCTCTTGCCCAGTTTTTCAGTTGTTTTAAGAGGCAGGGTTACTCTGGTCCCTGATGCTCCATCTTGACTGGAAGTAGATGCTCTTTTTTAAAAAAATTGTTTTATCTCTAAATAATTTTACTTGGCCCAGTGCGGTGACTCACACCTATAATCCTAGCACTCTGGGAGGCTGAGGTGGGCGGATCATTTGAGCTCAGGAGTTTGAGACCAGCCTGAGCAAGAGCAAGACCTGTCTCTACTAAAAACAGAAAGAAATTAGCTGGACAACTAAAAATATACAGAAAAAATTAGCCAGGCATGGTGGCACATGCCTATAGTCCCAGCTACTCGGGAGGCTGAGGCAGGAGGATCTCTTGAGCCCAGGAATTTGAGGTTGCTGTGAGCTAGGCTGACGCCATGGCACTCTACCCCTGGCAAAGAATGAGACTCTGTCTTAAAAAAATTAATTAATTAATTAATTAATTAACGGTATAAGAGGTTACTTAATTATCCATGGCACAAAAGCATTATATGACTGTTTGCAAGATAGACTCAACCTGCTGTGAAGTCTGGCGGCAGGCCATACCTGCCTGCACCTTGCATCCATGCTATACAGAAGCTGGGCTTGAGCCAAGAGCCACTTGCTTTTAGAATGATGGCTTCAGTTGTTGTTTTAAGTATAGAGTAGGGAAGTATGTTTTAAGCATGACAAAATAAATAAAGGGAGAAAAAGTGATTCCATTGAAATAGATTTTTAATTAAAAACAAAAACCCTCCCTAGTGTTTTCTAGGGATTGTGTGAGTCATATAGTAAGCTTCATAGCACCCTGGGGAATCTCTACATTCTGGTGACACATGAGCATTAACACCTTCAGGGATTGTTCTGAATTTAAAAGATCAGACATACACTTACCCCATGGATCAGATAAACTGTCTTGTTGCATGCAGGCTGTAGTTCGGTCACATTTGAGGATGTCTGTAAGAGGAACACAGAGTTGAAGTGATAACAAAACACCTCTTTGAGAAGAAAAATCCTTTCACTACCATTATAACATGTAAGTGCAATTCACTTGAGTTAAAAACAGCAGAGGTGGGGCTGGTGCAGACACTTATCTATCCTGAGGAACTGCCAGGACAATGACCTGGCACACTCTGCTCCTGGATGGCTCTGATATCAGCAGCGGTGAGGCATAAGGCTTCTGCTACCTATTCACATCATTAATCTAAAGCTCACTCAGTCTCATCTGTCTTGGTGGCCTGTGCTGGAGGTGGGGTGACCAGGTGCTTCTGTGCAAAAACTTCTCATCTCCAACCTACCATGTTCTCAGAGAAGTTCACAGTCTGTTTGGCAACAAATTCAAAGGGCACTTAAAGGGAATTTACGCTCTCCATCACGTGAGTGCACAGCTGGCCACCAGGGAGCCCAGGTCTGGTTTGGCACTGGCTGCAAAACACTCTCCATGTTTTCTTGCCTCCTATGGCTGCAGTCAACAAACAGAAGTACTATGCGAGATTTCCACAACATGATGTTGTGTCTTCTTGTTCATGGCCACTGGAAAATTAAATTCATCTGAGGGGCTAGTATATCCATTGTTCCTCTCAGGATATCTGATTAACACCTGGTGTCCTTGTTCCTGTTTCTCTAGAAACAAGGAGAGCGTTAAAGGAGAAAACAACCACATCTGAGATGCTGAAGCCAATCAGCCAATGGAGGTGTTGCCAGTGCCATTCCCACCCACCTCGGGGTGTGGGGGGTATGTTCTGGCTGGACAGGCTGACTGAGGTCACCTTTCTGGAGTCAGAGGTTCTTTGCCTAAAGCAACCATGAGCACAGTCTTTAGGGTAGGATCTATGCGTACCTATGCCATCTTCCCTTTTATTAAATATAATTTTCTCCATAAAGGTCTTGCCCATCTTTTGTTAGATTAATTCCTAGATGCTTTATATTCCTGATACTATTATCTTTTTAAAAATTACACCTTTGCTTGATGCTGAGAAATAGAAATATGACTGATTTTGTATCTAGCAACACTGGTAATTTCGCTTATGAATTTTTTTTTAAGAAACAGGCCCTCACTCTGGCACCAAGACTGGAGTGCAATGGCATGACCAAGCTTACTGCAGCCTCAAAATCCTGGGCTCAAGCAATCCTCCTGCCTCAGCCTCCCTGAGTAGTTGCGACTACCAAGTAGCTGCAACTTCTACCTTGCATGCCACCAAGCCTGGCTAATTTTTTTTTTTTAATCTTTTGCAGAGACGGGGTCTTGTATGTTGCCCAGGCTGGTCTCCAATTCCTAGCCTCAAGTGATCCTCCTGCCTCCACCCTCCAAAGTGCTGGGATTATAGGTGTGAGCCAGAAACTCAGCCTCTCTTGTGAATTCTAATCAATCTTTAAGTTGACAATCACATGAACTGAAAACAACACTTTTCTTTTCCTTTCCAATTCTTATAGCTCTAGTTTTGTTGCTTCGTTTATTTTTCCTTATTTTACACATGGTACCCCCAGTACAATGTTATATGGATGTGAGGACATCAGGGTCCTTAGTCTTGTTCTTGACCGGAAACAGTGAGTTTTTAGCCCTTCACCTTGAGTATCAGGTTGAGAAACTTCCCTTCTACAATTAGGAGGCTTTGTTCTTGTTTTCTAAATTAATCAGGTAACCCTCAGATAATCTGAACGTCCGAACCTGCTTAACCAGTCTTTGTCCCTCTGGTCAGGAACAAAATCTATAGCCGTGCCCCAGTCTCACCTTTGCATGGCTCTGTTGAGATTCATTGCTACATTCACTTCCTGCCACAGACTGCTGCCCGACTGAGCAACCTCAGCCTACAGATTCCTTCGCCAGGTGAGGCCTTACTGGTCTCACCCCAGGTGGAAGCTACTCCCTATCAGTCGCACAGTCTGAATTAGGCCCAGAGCTGTGCTCAGAACCTGCTCAGCCCTCAGTGAAGCAGGGGCCAGCTCCCCTCACTCACCTGAGTGGCCACTCCCCAGGCCCTGGCTTTTCTTCGCTCCCTTCCTGTCCAGGACCCATGGCTCTTCCCCTCGTTCCAGCTGGCAGATCACTTGGGGCTTGGATCCTGGAAGTCCTGATCATGGGGAGGGAAGTCCTTTGTTTATATAACATTTATCAGCAAGCCCTGATACCCCTGCTCATGCCACCTATGGGGACATGAAGATAGACAGGACTGACCTCTTACTGGAGTTGAGCACCCAAGGAGTGATGAGCGAGTCTCTAGTACCAGGCAGCCCCAGGCCCCCACCTGGGAGAGGAGCCCCTTCCCTGGGAAGCCCCACCCCAGTCCAACTCACACATACACAGACCAGGCCTGCAGAGGGGCTTACCCAGCGAGACCACGTTCCCATAGGTCTCCATCATCACGTTTCGGTAGAGGCCCCTTTGAGCAGGGCCCAGGCGGTTCCACTCCTCCTGAGAGAGGAGCACAGCCACATCCTCGAAGGTCACCTCAGCCTGGAATGACAAGGGCTGCTGCAGGTAAGACTGAATTGCCATGTCTGTGAAGGGGAGTGGGCGTGTGCAATATGGGCAGTTGGGAATGGAGGGCCCTGTGAACTGAGAGGGCAATGGAAAGGGCCACAGAGTTCAGGAGATGCAGTAATGCTCAGGCTGCTGCTGGGAGCCCTGGGTGTGGGAGGGGCCACAGGGGCTCTAGTTGGAGCACTGCAAAGACCTTGGGGATAGCTCACCTGGGGTCCTGCCGGCCGCGGCAGGAGCCTAGCTGCTGCCATTACCCGGTCTCCTGGGGCCTCTGAGAACCACGGAAATCAGAGGAGCCTGTGGAGCTGAGGAAGAGAAGGGGGCACATGAGGGGCCTGACCTTGCCCCTGGCAGACCCTGACTTCTTGGGGGAGCCTCAGGGATCCCTGGGCCTCCTGCAGAGAGTCAGTGAGGGCCATGCCGCACACCCAAGGAGCAGCAGACACCACAGCCCTGCTCTGCCCTCCCCTCCCTGTGGAACTCTGATCTGGAACCACATGGTTCTTGGGCTCTCGGGCTATCCCAAGAAGGTCCCATTTAACAAGTGCCAAGGGACTCTGAACACCAAGTGCAGGGCACCTGCTGTCCGCTGAAGGCTCAAGGTCCCAAGCCTTTATACTATCCAGACACCTGGAGTCCTCATGGTTGGCTGATCACACCTCTGTGGGGGAAGCCAGCAAGGGCTCTGGGCTAGAGTGCAGTGGCATCATTATAGCTTACAGCAACCTCAAACTCCTGGGCTCAATTGATCCTTCTGCCTCAGCTTCCTGAGCAGCTGGGTCTACAGGTGCATACTACTTCCCACTGTCTTTATAAAACATCAGATATGTGCATTTATTTGGATGGACAACTTTTGGGAAGAACATAATAAACTAAAAATGGCTGCTTATGAAGAATACAACAGGGGGATTGGGTGTGGAGAGAGGCTGACTCCCAACCTGCCTGTCCTGTTGTTCTCCAAAAATGTCTATTCCCCCCAAATGTGTGTATGCACGTTTCCATGTGTAAGTGCAGTGCAATTAGAATTCCAGTGGAAGTCTTTTAAAGGAGTAAATAAAACTACCTTAGAATTTACATGAACAATGGATGCTGGAGAAGAGACCAGAAAGAAATTTGAAAGAACAGAGTGGGGACCGCCTGATATCAGAACCAAAGACAGTAAGGAAGCTGCTATAATCAAACCAGCAAGCTGCCAGAACAGATGAGGCCAGACAGGCATGTGTGGGAAATTAAAAGATGTCAAAAGCTATAAATATCAGTTCAGTGGGAAACCAATCATTCATTTAGCAACTTTTGTGTATCCAGATGGGATATGCAATAACCAATTCTGAATTAAGTAAAGATTAAGTGTGAACGGTAACAGTGGCCTCAGGTTCTCTGCCTCCTGCCCTCCCAGTCCCTGTATCCCACATGTGCCCACCCTGGAGGTGCAGCAGAGCCTTCTCTACTGCCACACCCTACCCCTCTGTATGCGTCACCCACCAGCACACAGACCTGCCATTTGGGGACCACACTTTGTCCAGCTATCTCCCTGTGGGAGAGGAGAACTCTCCCCTGTGATCTCGATTCCCTTCTTCTCCTCTGCGGGGTACAACATCTTCATAGGATGTCACCCTCTCTCAGCCAGGAAGTAGCCCTGGGTTAGGGTCTCCTTTGATCTCCATGTGCCCAAATCCAATGTTAATCCTCAGTCCTTGTTACTCTCAGCAGTGGAGACACAGACACAGTTGGTCCCCTGAGCACTGCTCTCTCTCAGCGGCGTTTTCTCGGTGTGCCTTCCTCTACCACTCCCCTCCTCATCCACATTGCTGGGTAACCCTTCCATATTTGCCTGCATATGAACTTGACCTTTGGTGAATGTAGCTCTGGTCTCCTGGAAACCTGGCAGAGGTGGACAGTCATTCACACTATAGCCCCCATCACACCTGGGCAGAACCCAATGATGAACACCCACAGGAATCATATTCAGAGCCTCCTGAGCAGGTCTTGCACCCCATACTGCTAACACAGGAGGTGTTGGCTTGGGTGACCAAGAGGCTTTGGGCAAGGCTGGTTCCTGCTCCTGTCTGCATCTTGTGTCTGTGCACCCAAGTACTCCTGGATGCCTGCAGGGCACAGCCAGCTTTTTTCCATGAGCCCAGCATCAGGTGTGGTCGTCCTGTGAGTCTGAATATTCACTTGAGCCCAAGAGGCTCCTTTTTGGTGCCATTGAGCTGGCAATCCCCTTCCCTCTGACTCAACATCTCCATGTACATGTCTTGTAGCATCTCAGACTCTTAACATCCAAAACTGAATACCGCCACCACCATCATTTCTGCCCTCAGCTCAGTCTGCAAACCTGCACATAAGCTTCCTTTCCTCCTCACTCTCACACCCCACTTTTCATCCACCTTCCAAGCACATCCAGAACCTGACCGTGTTGCTCACCCCACACTCCCTGCCCTGTGGCCACCACCCCTAGCTGTTTGGTGGCCCTTGGCACATTCCTGAGCTGTCTGCCCAGCCCTCCTATCTGCCCTCTCACTGGAATATGGTGACTGTCCTCTGCTTCAAGGTCCTTCCAGACCCCCACCAGCTCCTACAAGGCTGCCCTGATGTTTCTGATCTTCCTCAGAGCCCTACAGCCCCTTACCCCTTGGCCTGTGCCCCCACCCAGCTCTCACTCTATCCCTTCCTGCTGCACCAGCAAGCCATGAAGCAGGCCCAACAGAGCAGCCAGTGGTTAACTGTTTGCTAAATAAATAAATGAAATGAAAGGAGCAATGAGACCACACTTTATACCCTTTGGAAGAGCAACATGTAAGGAATCAACACCTGCCACTGGCAGGGATGAGAAAGTGGAGTTTCTCATACTCATTCTCAGGAAGGCCATCTGGCAGTATTTAGGTGAATCAGATATGCCATTGGACAGTGGTCTATAGGGGTGAATGCAGGTAAGGGAAGACTTAAGGATGGTGCCTTGGCAAATGCCACCTTGGTCCTTCCACACACAGGTCATGCACCTGCTGAAGAGAAAGATTTATACTATGCCAGGCTGCCAGACGAGTGAGTGAAAATGTAGAATGAGGTCAGTGTGTGGATAATGCTCTCACTCTGTAAACTATAACCCCAACCCCCCAAGGGTATTTGTGTCTTAGGGACCTAGGACTGGCCTGCCTGCTTTATCCTCTGCCAGCTACACTAAGGACCCACCTGTAAATCTGGGAGATGACACATTCCACATTCCTCTGAGGGCCTCAAAGATGACATGGTTAGGGAGAGGAGAGTGCTCAGAACAGGCCTGGCTCAGAGTCTGCTGTAGCTGGATGAGGTGGTGTTATCTGATTTGATTAAATTAACACACAGGGAAAAACTCCAAAGGACAGTATCAGGCTGTCAATATGTGTGGCAAGAAGACAGAGAAAGAGAAAGACTGCCACCTGGGGTGAGTCTTAGAAATGCATAAAAACAAAAGGCGACATCAGGTAAAGTCTTTACCTAGGGATGACCTTCCCATATCGACAAGTGAAAAAAAAGTATGGTTGTAGTCTGGTGAAAAATGAACAAGATAAATAAAAAGTGGTACTAACTAGTTTTAAATTTTTCTTTTTTTTATATTTGTTTTACTTTTTTCTTCTCATACCTTTGGTACAGATAAATTTTTCTTTACTTGCACTTTGGCAGATAAAGGTCTGGGTCTCCTGGAACAAGCCTGTGACAAGGATGCAAACATATGCAAACATTGTGGGCCTCAACTTAAACCTTTCACACTCATATGCAGGAAAGGAGAGCTATTTGGGGCACCAGAAACTGGCTTTTAACCTGTCCCCCCAGGCACCCAGAATTCTGAGGCCTACTTCCAGGCTTTGCTCCATGAGAAGAACATAGGAGTTCAGGCAGGAAAGGAGAATGGTGTGGACAGTTTTTAAAAATTAAAGACTTATAATAAGCCCTGTACAGATGGGTTATAATAAGCGCTGTACAGATGCTGGGCCCCAGGGCCAGGGGCTGGGACAGGCCAGGGATCACCACTATAGAGTACCAGAAATGGAGTTTGAGGAGCCCCCTCATGAAGCTAGGCCACACCCTAACACTTGGGCAAATACAAAGAGTACCCACCCAGGGCCATGGTTGAGCAATGACCCCACCCACCCACAGGTGACAAAGGCATCAAACTGAAGATTCTTCTTCAGACTCAGGAATTTCAGTTTTTGGCAATCAATCTCCCTAGGGAATAACCCAAAACAAAAACAAGAATAGATCAATGTTCTCAGCAGCAAGGTCATTTAAAGAAAACTGAAAGAAGCTGCATTGCAGTGAGATACTCTCTGCCAAGCAGGGGTCTGGCTCTCTTGATCACTGTGAAGCAGGATCACAGGGTCAGGAACTAAAAAGGGACCACAATTACACAAAGAGGTTAGAATTTAACATTTATTAATTTTTTGTTTTGTAAGCTAACCATTAGAAACCTATAGCTCTTTTTGGAATTCCTGACAGTCTTGATGTGACAAAGCAACCATGCCTGTCCTTCCAGAGGACCCTGCACATGGTGACACACGGAGACAGGCACATTCTGAGTCTCCTGGTATAGGATGAACTGCCAGGATCTCCCCCAGAGCCACTGCTGTCCCTTCCTCCTCACTCCTTCAACTTTCTGCTAAGACGCCCTGCTCCACCATGAAGCCCCTGCCCTCCAGGGTGGAAGCACTCTAAAGGAGGCAGCTTCTGAGCCACCTGTGAGTGCAAAGCAAAACATTGTTAAACTTGACCACCTAAAACCTCCCCAGAGAAAATGATCAGAAATAGTTATCCAAATTGATAGCCTTCCCATACATCAACAACAATCAGAAAATATGAAAGGATAAAAAGACTCTACTGATAAGTAGCATCAAGAAACAAATTCAATACAGATCTAGAAAAAATAATTCTGTGCTTTGTATGGAACCAGAGAAGACCTTGTATAGCCAAAGCAATCTTAAGTAAAAAGAACAAATTGGGCGGTATCAGTCTATCAGACTTCAAGCTGTTCTACAAGGCTATAGTAATTAAAACAGCATGGTACTGGCACAAGAACAGAGACATAGACCTTTGGAACAGACTGAGAATCCAGAGATGAAACCATCCACATATGGTAATCTAATATTTGACAAAACAGACAAAAATATACACTGGGAAAAGAATCTCTTTTCAATAAATGGTGCTGAGAAAACTGGATCCCCACCTCTCACCTATCACAAAAATCAATTCAAGATGGATAACAGACTTAAACCTAAAGCATGAAACCTTAAGAATTCTAGAGGATGTGGGGAAGACCCTTTCAGACATCAGCCTAGGAAAAGAATTTTTGAAGAAGACCCCCAAAGCAATCACACCAGCAATAAAAATAAATAAATGGGATCTGATCAAATTAAAAAGCTTTTGCACAGCCAAGGAAACTATCATTAGAGTGAATAGACAGCCTACAGAATGGGAGAAGATATTTGCTCTCTACACATCCAATAAAGGGCTGATAACAAGAATCTATCTAGGGCCAGGCGGGGCGGCTCACGCCTGTAATCCTAGCACTCTGGGAGGCCGAGGCAGGAGGACTGCTTGGGCTCAGTAGTTCGAGACCAGCCTGAGCAAGAGCAAGACCCTGTCTCTACTAAAAATAAAAAGAGATTAGCTGGACAACTAAAAATATAGTTTTTTGATCTCTTGGAGACCACTCTGGGAGGCCGAGGCGGGCAGATTGCTCAAGGTCAGGAGTGCAAAACCAGCCTGAGTGAGACCCCATCTCTACTAAAAATAGAAAGAAATTAATTGACCAACTAAAAATATATATACAAAATATTAGCCAGGCATGGTGGTGCATCCCTGTAGTCCCAGCTACTCGGGAGGCTGAGGCAGTAGGATCGCTTGAGCCCAGAAGATTGAGGTTGCTGTGAGCTAGGCTGATGCCACAGCACTCACTCTAGCCTGGGCAACAAAGTGAGACTCTGTCTCAAAAAAAAAATATATATATATGGTACATACACACAATGGAATACTATTCAGCCATAAAAAGAAGGAATCCTGTCATTTGCAGCAACATGGATGGAACTAGAGGTCATTATGTTAAGTGAAATAAGCCAGGTACAGAAAGGCAAATATCATATGTTCTCACTCACGTGTGAGAACTAAAAAATTGATCTCTTGGAGACAGAGAGTAGAATGATGGTTACCAGAGGCTGAGAAGGGTGGGGCTGGGGGATGAAGAGAGGTTGGTTAATGGATACAAACATACAGTTAGATAGAAGGAATAAATTCTAGAGTTCGATTGCATAGCAGGGTGACTATAATTAACGATAATTTATTGTATATTTCAGAACAGAAGATTTGAAATGTTCCCAACACAAAAAAATGATAAATGTTTGTGGTGATGGATGTCTCAATTACCTCATTTGATCATTACACATTGTATGCATGTATCAAAATATGACTTGTTTACTCTGTAAATATATACAATTATTATGTGTCAATAAAGAAAGAATTTTTTAAAAAATACAGGTAAATTTTTATCATTTTATGTGGGAAGGGCCTTTCTAACCAAAATACCAAAAGCAGAAATCTTGGGGACAGAGATCCACAGATCTGCAGCTTATAAATCAAAACTTTATGCACATCAAAGCCACCACAAACTCCAGAAATGGACCTAAAGACATTAAAATTCGAGTATATGAAATAGTTTTGCAAATCAATGGAGAGAAGAATTATTCAATAGGTGGCGTTAGAAATGGCTATGATTTAAAGAAAAACATGAAACTAGATTCCAAACTCACTCCACACCAAAATAAATTCCAGATGTATCCAACATTTTACAAGTACTGGAGAAAAACAAGAGTTTATTTTAAAAATAATCCTGGAATGAGGAAAGCCCTTTAAAACGCAGCACAAAGCTCAAAGTCTTTAGGAAAAATTTTTGACCATTAAAAACTTAAAATCTTTTATCTAAAAAAAAAAACCAAACCAGGGCAAAGCAACATAATTGGAGTCAAACGGATAAACTGATAAGTATGTTTTTAACATATATGGAAAATAATACAAGCTGGCAAGTCACAAAGAAATACAAATGGCTAAAACACAAACGAAGAGATTTCAACTTCACCAATAATCTAGAACGGAAATTAAGACGTCGACCTGGCAAGACCGCATGGACTCTAGCCCTATACCGGGTGGAGAGGTCGATGGCAACACCAGAACAGAGAAACCCAGGGCGTGCAGAGCCCAGGGAACAGGAAACTGAACTAGTAACTGAAAAATCTGCAAGTATCTACCGGGCAGGGGGCAAGTTCTGCGCCCTCTGCTGTCCGAGAGTTCACCTTTTATGTTAATAACAGAAAAAAGGGTGTGCGCGCGTGCGTGCAGAGCTGTAAATTGCACAGAAAAATTCAGAAAAGGTTCTACAGAACTGTCCACAGTGCTTACCTCTGCGTACACTGGCGGGGTGTTGTTGGAGAGTGACTTCTACATTTTTATGACATGCTATTGCATATTATTTTCTATTTAAAAATTAAAAAGCCGAGCAGGGCACAGTGGCTCACGCCTGTACTCCTAGCACTCTGGGAGGCCGAGGCGTGAAGATCTCTTGAGCTCAGGAGCTAGAGACCAGCCTTAGCAAGAGCAAGACCCCCGTCTCTACTAAAAATAGAAAAAATTAGCCGGGTTTGGTGGTGCTCGCCTGAAGTTCCAGCTACTCAGGAGGCTAAGGCAGTAGGATTGCTTGAGCCCAGGAGTTTGAGGTTGCTGTGAGCTAGGCTGACGCCACGGCACTCTAGCCCGGGCGACAGAGCGAGGCTCTGCCTCAAACAAACAAAAAATTAAAAAGCCAATGATAAGGAAAATATTTGCTATGTTGCAAAAACGTTGGTCGGTCTCATTGATTAAAATAGGGTTCTTACAAAGTAATAGGAAAAAGACAGCACCAGTGGAATGATGGAAGAAGGTAAGAAATTTGGGAAGTAGTACCCTCGGCCGACAACTGCTGAGACGAAAGCAGCTAACCCTTCTTTTCACGCGGGAAAACGTTTTTATTGCTAAATAGAGGCGCTCCGGGTCCTTGTGGGGCCCCAGAGGTTGTGCATGTAGCAGAAAACCTCCTTTTTCACATTTTGAGGAAGCCCTCCCGCCAGGGGCCATGGCGCCCCATCCTCTCCCTCCAGATCCTGCCGAACGCGGCCTGAAAGGCGGCCTGGGAGACCCGGCCCGCGCGCCTGGGACTCCAGATGACCCACCGCGCCGGGGGAAGGAGAACGGGGCGCGAGAGGGTCTTAGGGGGTCCGAGCCAGGAGGAGGCGCGGGAGGGTCTGGGGGGCCGGACGGTGGAGGAGGCGCGGGAGGGTCGGAGGGGGCTAGGGGTGCACCAGGGCCCGCGGGGGTACGGGGCGTGGCGAAGGGAAAGAGTGGGGACCCCGAGCGGGCCAGAGGGCGCGGCCTTGGCCAAGGGGAGGAGGCCGCTGCGTGTCCGTGAGAGAAGGGGACCAGCGCTAGCGAAGCCGGCAGCGCGTGCCCGCGGGGAAGCGTCCCATCGGTGTGGAGGACGCGCTCGCCCGGGTGGTGTCCGTGAGGGGAGAGGGTCCCGGCCGGCCTGGCGCCGACACGCACCCCACTCACCGTCCACTCAGCCGGCTCGTGCGTGAAGGGGCGACAGCCTGCAGCGCCTCAGACAAAGGGGCCGCCCCGCCCCGTCTGCGCAGTCGCCAATCCCTGGGGGCCCTGCCCCTAAGTCCCCGCCCCACCACCTGGGCCACCAATCCTGGAGCGCGACGCCCGCTAGCGGCGGTTGTCGGCCCCGCCTATCCCTCCAGGAGGTTTTAGCTGTGACAGACTGCTGGGCAGCTCTCCGAAGCCACCAAGAGCCCAGGCCTCCGCGGATCCTAGAGGGGCCACACTGGGCTCTGGAGTAGGCCAGCCCGCGCGTCCCCAGACGCACTTCCGGGCGAATTGGCGGAAGCCGAAGATCATCCCTGTTTGTTCGGTTCGCGCTTGGTATTGGCTGTCCTAGAGCCGTCTGAGCTCGTTTTCGCTTCCTAACTTTTGTCCTTGCTGTCCCCGCTGCCAGAAACGATCTTCCACTGACCCCGCCTACCTTGTCCCTGCTGTCACCTCAACTGTCATCTCAGAGGCCCCTTTCCTTTATCATGACACTCTGAAATGCTCATGTTTGGTTACTTGAGTATGGTTATTTCCGCTCTCTTAGGACGGTGGGCGCTGCAAGGACAGAGGCTCGGTCTCGCTTTTTGCTGTACCCTGGGACTCAGCATGGCCCTGGTATGTGGTTGTCAGTTTATGAGCAATAGCTGCCTCCGTCGTCCACTCTGCACTGGTGTCTACGGGCTTTTTGGTTGTGTTTAAACCATGCACCCGGGGGAGAGTCACAGGGAGGCAGACGCACCCGCACTACAAAAAGAGGCTTCAGGCACAGCCAAGGACCAGAATGCCCTAGGGCTGGTTTGCAGTAGGGATAGGGGAGCAGAGAAAGTTGGCTATCTTGTCTACTTTCTGATATTTTACACACCCCTCCCCATCATGAAGCACAGGTCAGTGTACTGTACTGTCCATCTGGCACGTGTGGCCTGGAGCTCAGAATATCTCAGGAAGAACTAGAACTGGGCTGGGGGCAACAGGGAAGGTGTGTGGGCTTGACCCTGGGTGCTGTGACTGTGGTGTTGGAGAGCCTATATTTGAGCAGGGAAACTGGAGGATGTGGTGACAATCCTGTAATTACCATGCACCAGGTAAGTGCCAAGCCCTGTGCTGGTGCTTCCATGAGTCTTAACAGCAATTAGGGGAAGGGTTTCCCACTTTGTGGAGTGGAGATCAGCTTCCCTCCCTCAACCACACCGTGGAGGCTAAAGTAACTCCATCTCAGATGCTAACCTGCCATGTTGACTTCTGATTAATGCAACTAAGATTTCTTCTTTGTCTATT